CCAAGACTGTCGGAAGCCATTTTTGCACTTGAAGTCATAAAAATAATAAAAATAAATAATCAAGCTTCTCAAGGCTCACCATGTTACATTTACCTTGTGATGATACAATAATGCTCTGTGGAACACAATGTCTTGGTGTGGATGTCGACTGTATTGATGTAATGAAACACTTCTTGTATTTCACTTCTTGTATTGATGTTCTTTGATAAAACACTTTGATAAAACTCACTTTGATAAACTGTCTTGATAATACTGACTGATTGACTTCCATATACTGGCTGAATTACATGTTGGTTTACATGTCTCTTATATAGTAAAATGAACCTGTGTGAACCTGTTCTGGAAGATTCTAGATGCTTCTTTTCGATGCTTCTGGATGTTTCTGGATACTTCTGGATGCTTCCAGATGCTTCTTCTGAAAACTTCTGGAAGCTTTTGCATGCTTCTGGAAACTTCTGAATACTTCCTTTAATTATTAAAAAACTTCCGTGACGTTGACACGAACCAGACTTAAGAAAATGAAACAAACCAAAAAAGTTGCACTTGTTTTGTCTGCTGCAAAATATCACTTTTCAATGAAATTCTGCCTGTGTGCTGTCACCTGTCAGCTGTTTGCTCATGTCATGGCATGCTATGACTCCAGACTCCTGAACTGTTTGCTGTGGTAGTATAGTTCGTTTCGTTTTTAAGGCATGTAAAATTAGGAACACTTTTTAGCATTTTTCAATATTGGTTGAAAATGTTTTGTCCAATACCGTATATATATATATATATATATATATATATATATATATATATATATATATATATTATATATATATATATATATATATATATATATATATATATATATATATATATATATTTTATTTGGATCTAGAAAACAAACTAGCAAATATAAAAATGATTTGAATATTGCGTTTTCTGGAACCACAATAACTACAATAAATGCCAATCGCCATTCAATTAAGTCTCATCCTTTTTCTGTGACTGTTCCTAAGTGCTTCAAAAACTCTTATTATTCTAGTTTTTTTCCTCGAACATCAGTTCTTTGGAATTCGCTTCCTTCATCTTGCTTTCCTGATTCATATAATTTGCAATCTTTTAAGTCATCAGTCAATCGTTATCTTGCTCTACAGATTTAGTCTTTTCTCTTCCAGTAACTTCCAACTCTTATAGTGGTTGCTTGCAGCCTTGTTGGAAGTGAAGATGTTAAAAAAAAAAAAAAAAAAAAATTCAGTAAAAATCCTTGGAGTCATCCTAGATTCAAAGCTCTCTATGGACAAGCTCATAAACAATATTATTAAATCCTGCAATTACCACATTCGTGCACTTCGCCACATTCGTCCATGTCTGACCAAAGATGCTGCAAACATAATTGCTTGTGTCATCGTTAACTCTCAGCTTGACTATTGTAACAGCATTTTATCTGGCACTTATCAAAAAAATATTAAAAAACTCCAACTTTCCATTCTTCTTTCCATTTAAAATCAGAAATATTGCTGAAATCTCTTCATTGGTTACCAATACATCAAAGAATAATCTATAAAATATCAGTTATCACATATAAAATTTTATTATCAAAATCTCCTGCATATTTATTTGAACTCCTAGAAGTCCGAACTTCTAAACAAAATATGAGATCATTAGACAGTTGCCAACTTACACGTCGTCAACAAAAGACCTCCTTAGGCTCAAAATCTTTTTGTATGGCTGCACCTCGAATTTGGAATGGTTTATCTTTGAACACGCGAAACTCAACTTCTATAAAAACATTCAAAAAAAGACTAAAATATGAACTTTTTATGAACTCTTTTTCAGACTCATAGTTTACTTGTTTAGTGCTTCTGAATTACTTTATCACTATTGTGATTGTTGTAAATAATGGCACTTTAATCTCTAATTATTATTATTATTATTATTATTATTATTATTATATATATATATATATATATATATATATATATATATATATATATATATATATATATATATATATATATATATATATATATATATATATATATATATACTCTTGCATGTCTCTTGCATGGCATCAAAAAAAGTTTCCCATAAACTGTAGTTTTAAAGAGCGCGTTAATAAACCAGACCAGAAAAAGTTTTAAAAATTAAATTTTTTTTTTAATTGATAGACTGCCTGGCCAAACCAAACCCTCAGTCGATGTAGCAGCACTCTCTTGCGAGTCAGGCTATTTGTCAGTCGTTGTAGCAGCACTCCCTTGCGAGTCAGGCTATTTGTCAGTCGATGTAGCAGCATTCCCTTGCGAGTCAGGCTATTTTTCAGTCGATGTAGCAGCACTCCGTTGCGAGTCAGGCTATTTGTCAGTCGATGTAGCAGCACTCCGTTGCGAGTCAGGCTATTTGTCAGTCGATGTAGCAGCACTCCGTTGCGAGTCATGCTGTAAGATAGTTAATTTAATGTACTTCCACATAAATTAATTGCTTTGACATTTCGATGACAATCAAAAACAGCTTAAGAGACGAGGTAATTAAAATTGTAGTCGAAAGAGACTTTTTTTACATTAAACGATTTTTTCGACTACACTATAAGGATATATATATATATATATTATATATATATATATATATATATATATATATATATATATATATATATATATATATATATACATATATATAGGTAAGGTTGTATTATACTCAGTTTCTACATATTACCATGGAAGTGATTCTACTTCCATGGTAATATGTAGAAACTGAGTTAGATGTGAAGTTGGTGAGTTTATTCAGACAATAATTAGTTCATTTTCAGGGATTGCTGCAGCTTTTTTCGGGTTCTGTAGGTAACTTTTAGACATATAGCTAACTTCAAACACTTTATGTTTATGTATTAAAGAAATCAACCTATGATAATATGTTAAAAAGACTCTACAAATGAAACTGGTTTTTTAAGGTTCTGAAAAGAGAAATCAATAAATAAATGCAGGTTTGATTACACATGATCTTCAAACTGTTTTGAAAGTTTTGAAAAACATATTTTGGATGATTTATTTTTCTATAATTTTTTTTTTTTTTTTTTAATTTTGTGAAGGAGAAAAGGAGCTTTTTAAAAAAGATGGCATTTGTACTGTTCAGCAGTAAAAATTAAAATTTTTGCTGAAATAGTTAATTTAGTTAATAATTCTTTTAAAAAAACAAAGCTAAGTAAATAAATTATAGTTGCTTTTTTTTTCTTAAGAACAAAGCTACTCATTGTCCAAAACTACCCAACAAGAGGGGGTTTTGGACGATATTAAGGCAGTTTAGGAATTTCTATTAAAAAACTTGAAATGATTTTAAAGTTTCATTTTTTTATTGAACTGTAATTATAAACAATTGCAAAATTAAGATAATTATTACCAAATAACAGAATTATTTTTAAAACGATCTCAAATTATTAAATAATTTTTTGTATGACATATTCAAACAAACTAAAATATTAACTTTAAAAAATAACAAAGTAAATAAAAGTTTTTTTAAATCAATTGAAAAAATAAAATTCATATCATTCAGCCAAGTTTGAATGTTATGAACTTGATAATAAATGTAGAAATATAATACTTGGTGGAAAAGTTTTCACTTTTTAATTTTCTGTAATTTCTAAATATTTTTATTGTGCAAGTCAATGTACTTTTAGAGAACCCACCTGCTGCTTTAGAGTGCTTTTAGAGAATACACTGTACTTTTAGAGAATATACCTGCTGCTTCTCTTAGTTTAATTATTTTATTAAAAACATAATTTTTTTTCAATTTTTGATTTTTCTTCGTTTATATATCTTTCACGCACCTTTTTATAGTTGCGCACCATTTAACTTTGCTTAATTTGTAATTTTTAATGATTTAATTTGCCGATAAAGGCCGTTTTCCACAAGACGAGTTTTTTCGTCTTGTGGAAAACAAACTTAACCCTTTAATAGTCAATACCGTATTATTACGCAAACTTAAGGTGGTTTCCAAATGTCCATGCCGTAATATTACGCAAATTGAAAATGGTTTCTAAATGTCCATGCCTTAATATTACGGTTTTAAGCATTTCCTCATATTTTCTTTTTGTTCATCAGTAGTTATACGTCTAATTATTGCAAAATTTATTTCTACATAATTACAGAGCTTATGTTTCAATAATTCACTTTGGCACGTGTTCACTTTAATTTTAAATATGGCAGATAAGGAAGTTCTTTCAGTGCAAAAATCATTATTAAAAAAGCAAATATTTACTTAGAAAGAGATCGAAATTTATATATTTGTTAAATGATTAATGAAAAGATATATTTGATGAATGATTATTAAAATCGATAATGATAGACTAATACTAAAAAAATGTGTGTGGTATTTTACAAACACAAAGTTTGAAAAGATTCAAGTTATGAATGTGTAGAATGTGGTGTTGGACTTAGTGCCGCTCCATGCCCTGCCAAATATCAAACAAAAAATGAATATTAGTGAATATATTTTTAAAATTTTGTGTTTGAATAGTATGATTAAATATTCTTAAACTTGAATATTAACATTTTGCAGTGTTTAATAGTGTTGAAAAACCTTTTTTTAATAGCGACCGTAATTTTAAAAAAAACGGGACTGTTAAAGGGTTAAGATTCTTAAATATCGCGTAGTACGTCCAAATGTGCCCCATGAAAGTTGTCCAATACTGCCTTAACCCAGATTTCGGAATATTATCCACAAAATTTTTGTCTTGTAATGTCTTGTAATTGAACTTTTTTATTTATATCGTAGAACATACCCCATTCATTAAAAATGTAAAAAAACAAATGCCTTTCTGAAAAAAATTATGTGACGGTTACGTTCAAAAGTATTTTCAATCGACTAATATATTTAACTTCGTTGATATGTTTGTATTTTTTAAATTTTCGTAACGTCCTTAACTGCCTCCCTTTCAAGAATAGTTTAAAGTTTTAAATTATATCTTTTGCATGTATTATATTTTTAATAACTGACTGCTTTAATTTTTTTGTTCTTTATAGCATACAGATGTAATTCATGACTTGCATGCTAGACTAGTTGACATCATTGCATCTTCTAAAGTTAACACTCCGTTAAGTACCGGAAGTAATGAGCATAACAACTCCATATCTCCAGTCACATCACCAAATACTTTATTTCAAGGAATTACAAGCTGATATTATTACTATGTGGCATTAAAGAGCAACTAATATTTCTCATAAAGTTGTTGTCCAAAAGAAGTTGTGCTGGTTTTTCCATTGCCGTTAATGAAAACCTCTTCGAAAATAATATTTTTATCGAAGCCTTTTTTGGTTAACTTAGAAAAAAAAAATTTTCCATGAAATAAATTTAAAAATAATAATAAATTTAATTTACTACAATAAAAAGTTATTGTCTATTGAATATTTATAATATATATACATATATTCGTGTATAAATATAATCTAGCATTTTTATGCCAATGCATAATTAATCTCTTGTTATCCAATATTGTTTTTTAATTTTTTGCCTTAAATAAGGCTTTGTTTTTTCTAATCAGCTTTTCGGATCGGTGGCTCTAAAAACCTCTATATTTTCCCATTCTTCAGATGTCTGAAGGCAATAAATCAAGAGTTTAGTTAAAAAAACAGCAACATTTACACCTATAATTGATGCAATTCGTATTTCAAGCGGAAAAACCGGAAACCTTTTAAAAAGTCGCTTTAATATTTTGTCTGCATCTCTGGCCATCTTGAAACTATAACAATTTTTAATATAAAACTTTATTTCTTTTATTGATTAAGATCAACTATTAAGTTTATTAGGAATGAAAATTTTAAATAAGAAAATTTGTGAACAATTGTCTGTGGAATGTTTTTACAGGAAGTCTACATGTTTGTTGCAACCGTTTGTTGTAAAGTTGTTAAACCAAATTGATGCCAAACATTTATTTAACTACCTTAGGAACGCTGTTTTGCAATAGTTTCCAACTATTAAAACAGTTTAAATTTGAAATAAATTTTATAATTTTTTCTTTTACTTAGCTTTCAAAAATCATTTTGTGTTTCATGATTTTCGTTATTTTTGGTTTTTTGAATTCTATTATTTATGATTTCGTTATTTTCAAATACTTTTACTTCATAACTTTCTTTTCCTTTTTAGTAGGCACGCATGTTTTTATTTTTTTTGAGTTTTATACTTAAAGGATATTAAATAAGGCTGTTGCACTGTAAGAGAAGGTCCAAAAAAAAGATTTTTGGCACATTTGGACTATGGGAGCGCTACTCCAAGCTATGCGTCTGCCTCAAGGCTTTTATATATATATATATATATATATATATATAATAAAAGTTTTGTTTATTTTATATAAAAATATTTATTGGAAATATTAATGATAAAGCATTAATAATTGAGTAAATTTAAAGTTTCAGAATTAGCAGTTAATATACATTAATTATTTTAAAGCATGGGCTAATTCTTAATCGTTTGGATTGCGATCAAGTTGTATTTGTTTAAGTGAGTATTTTTTTAAAGACAAAGTAGATATTTTTTCTAAACATGCTACTTTGGTTCTTAGATCCTGGGTGGGTGTTATTACTTTATTTTCCACACATGCTTTGAAAACACTAAAAGATGAAAACACCAGAAGATGGTGTTAAGTTTTAGTTTTTCTTACAAAGAAAATCTAAAACTTAACACCATCTTCTAGTGTTTTTTTTTTTTTTGTATCAAAATGGTATCAAAATTAGTTTAAATCTTTCTTCATTTGGTTTTATATTTATTTTGTTTTATAACTTAATAAAAATAAGCAAATCAAATTAGTTTTTCGGGTTTTTAAAAAATATCAAAGCAGGTCGCCCGCGATTAGGAAGGATTTTAAAAATCATCAAACAGAAACTAAGTATGACAATTTTGAACAATAACAATTAAAGACCTCGTGGTATAAACATGTTTAAAAACATTTTTTATGAATTTGAGTTTATTAGTGTTATGATTAGTGTCAAATTTAATACATATTAGTTAACTATAAGTTTCATCATAATTTTGTCTAATTATTATCTTAGTTAAGCACTTCGTAACAACAACAAAAAAGTCCACGAGTTAACATGTTTTTATGGTAACAATCACATAAAACTTAAGTTAACATGTTTCTGCCGCACAATTCAGAAAAAAGTTACGCTAAGTTTCTGTTGCGTTTTTAAAACCTTTAAAAACAAAAAGAATAACACGTGCCGTGAATGGTTTTTATTCCGTGAAATTAACTATTTACCGTAAAACACTAGTTAAAATATTAATGGTTTCATTGTTACAGAAACGTAGTATATTATTGTAATAAATTTCTGTAAGCACTGATAAAAGCATGCGACTTTTAAATTTGACTTTAAAACCTCAAAAAACACTCGTTAAACTCAAGTAAAACTGCCCGTTACTGCGTGTTTTTGGTTTACGCATGGATCGTGACAAACACGTGTCCATACAGGTTTTAATTCCGACAAAAAAACTAGATGCGCCGGTTAGGAGTTTTTAAAGTCTGATTACACTGAAAGTTTTTATTCTTATCAGTGACTGATATATATATATATATTTGGATTTATTTTTTAGTTTTGAGTTTTTTTGTTTGTTGATAACGTGTAGAAGTTAACAAACGAGGGAGGATGAGGGGAGAGGAAGGATCTTAATAAACTTAGAGTGGAACGGATAAGTTTCCAAAAATAATAGACGTTCTCTCCCCTGTATTAAGCACCTACGAATACTTTGCTCAAGACACTAGTGATAGGTCTGAGCGTCTGAAACATGTTGTTTTATCTGACCTAGATGTCGACTCTAATACCACTATTGTTTTAAATGTTGCAATACGTTTCTTGGCATCAAATGACTTTAATGCTGATAAAGTCAAAAAAGCCCACTGACTAATTAACAAAACATCAAACTTTCCAAATTTGTTACTTGTTTCATTTGAAAATAACAACGATGCTGCAGAGGCGTTACGTATCAGCACTCGCCAATCAAATTCTTTGTTTAAGGGTGTATTTTTTTTTTTTTTTTTTTTTTTTATTCATATATTTGCCGTACATATAACATTTACATGTTTCGTAAATTAATAGTAATATTTACAAGTCTCGTGGGTCAAAAAATATAGTGAAATTTATAATTAAATAGTACAGGCCGGACTTCAAGAAGATCGTAATGATCTTATCACGAAGCCCATAAAATGTGTTTGATATATTATTATTATATATTTGTTTCCGAGGATTGTACGCCTGCTCAGCAAACACAATTTAGAGAACTGAATTCTCAAAAAAGAAAACGAATCCATTGTTTAAAGAGAAGTTTGACCAACCCTTTTGCTCCATTATCTATCAAAGTACTCAAAATGTCCTCTGCATCGACGTTATTAAACCCACCGAAGCTAAAAAATGCATTTTTGCTACGCCATTATTGAGTACTTTGTACATCCAAACAACTCTGAGCAAATTTTGAAACTCAAAAGCACCAGTTAAAACATTTCCATCAACACCCATGACAACACGACTAATGTAACCCAGCACTTGCACAACGTTAAAAAAATTTCGTTTTTTTCTACAGGAACACAACTTCGCTCAATAAATACGAACTTAACTCGAAACTTAACTATGGTTCTGCACGTGCATTAATGTTCTGTGAGATATGGTTTGATCTTACTTTTCTGTTCATAACTCAAAATTACCTGGCATATATTCATTTTTTACGTAATAATGCGAAAGGTGGTGTTATCTATTTTATCTATTTTAAAATCTATATTAAAAAAAAGTATATTCTATTTTAAAAGTGACCTTACAGCCTGTTGATTTTTGGTAAGTTTTTTGCTATGTAATTAGCCTATTTCAAACTAGCTTATCTAACTCAACCGAGTAAATATGTTGTTGTGCATTTTAAGTTATAGCTTTATTTTGCTGTTTATTCTATAACTATAATTAAGTTTATTTTATTTAAAATGGTAAACTATGCTTGAAATTGTTTTCTGTCAAACCTACCCAAAGTAACTCAATCTCGCCCAAAGAAAAACTTCTAGGTTATGGACATTACTCCCCGTACGTTACCTGCGCCTAGGATTAGAGTTTGGTTACAAATATTAACATATGGCTTTTACCATATGTTAATATTTGTTGTAGATTATTTGGATATATATAATTCATTTTAAGAAGTTGCAATTAAAAATTTTTTCTATACATTGATATACTATAGGAAAATATGTTATATGTTAACATTGAATTATGTGTTGAGCGATGTTTAATGTTTGCTGCATTCAAATTTATATAATTAGGTATATCTACCTAAAAGTTTGCTATTTTAGGAATTCGGCAACAACTGACAGACCTCAAAAACTACTGCTATTTCTGCATTGTTAGCAAAAAACATCGCTCAAGCAAAAATGCGCCTTAAATCATTTAGCCAGACATGCTTTAATAATTTTCCTACACCGCGCAGACCCATGCAGCCTGTTCACACTCCACTAAAAAGGATAAGCCTACTTCAAGACAATGCAGCAAGTTTGAAAGTGAAAAAGATATATTGGAGATAAAACTACCGTTTTGCAGGTGCAATTAAGAATATAAGGCATATATTCTTAATCGCACCTTATAAGAATATAAGACATTAGGATAATAACTTTACCAGACCACAGATCAAGAAACTCATAGAATGTAAGTATAGAAAATAACTTTACCAGACCACAGATCAAGAAACTCATAGAATGTAGAATGAGTTCGCTAACATGACGTAAAAAACGGTTAGAAAGAGTGTTTTTTTTCTAGTTGTTTACCGCCTTCTGTAATTACAAAGGTGAAAACTATGTGGAGTTGGTCCAGGTTGTATCAAAGAATTACATCAAAATTGAATGCACAATGTCACTCAAAGTTTATTTTTTCAACGCTGGTTTCGACAAACAAACTCAAGTAAAATATGGAAAATAAAATATGGAAATTGCCTCAGAGGAGGAAGACAAGCGCTTTCATAAAAATATACAGTAGTTTAAACGTTGCTATCCAAGATAGCATAACGAAAAAACGATGGGGGCTGCATATAAGGGCTATTTCGCAAACCTACAAAAAATTTATTTCTGAAACTTTTTGAGTGATTTTTTACAGCCTTTGTTAATTCAATATTCACTTGTTGTTGCTAAACAGACTGATAAACAAAAGTTAATATTTTTCTTGTTCTATCTCATTAAAAACGAATTTTCTTTGTGCTTTAGTTGTAAAATCAAAGTTTTTACCTAATATAGTTGTTTTTCCAGTTTTTAGACGTAAGCAACTCAAATATAATAGTATGATCCTAAGAACAAAAGATGTGTTACTTAATGTAATTAATAAAAGTGTTGGTTTTTTTATCAGAGCTGTGCCGCAGTAACTTAGCGATTAAATCATAAATGCATGATATTAGTTTAAAGAACGTTCTGTTCAATTAAAAAAACAATCCAATAGTTATTCTGGGGAACGTTTTAATCCTTTATGACGTAATATTAAAAACAATCCAATAGTTATTCTGGGGAACGTTTTAATCCTTTATGACGTAATATTAAAGAGGGTCTTTATGAGGTACTTTATGTGACGTATTAAGACGAGGGAGAGGGAGTTTAAAATTGCATAAATTGTGTTAAATCAATTGTGGACAACTCCTATTTACGTTCTGTGGACAAGTCCTGTTTACGTCTGCTGCAAAATCACAACCGCATTTGTAGCATATAAACTACTAGACTTACCACCTTAAAAAAAAGCTATAATTGCATCGTAAAAAGCTACAATGGAATTGTAGAAAAGCTAAAAGTCTAGCTTCATTTTATAGACTTCATAAAATACAGTTTCAATTTTTTATTTCACTTTTATGTCTTTATCCTCTTATATTTAAATTGATCTTTCTATCTATCTATCTATATAGGATTTTTATTAAAAATACGATAATTTTTATTAGAAAGAAATATTTTAAATTATAATTTCATTTTCAGGTTTTTATTTAAATTATAACTTTTTCATTCACGATAGCATTATCATAAAATTTTTTTCTTTTTTTTTGCTTCTAGTTTAGTAAGTAAATCGTCATGTATACGTTTTCTTTGCTGACGTATATATTTAAAAGCCTCTATATTTGCGTAAGGTAAACCAGTTAAAGGATCTTTATACTTTGCTGGCTGACCAGTTACAATGCAAACACTTTTAGCAGGATATTTCTTGCGACTATTCGGAAAATATTCGCGGGGAAAATTGTTTGTATCGGTAAATTCAAGAAAGTTTCTAGAACAATATTCGTTATTGGTTTCGTCCAAAGGCATACGAACTGATTGGTAACGAATAATTGGACCCTGATAGCGAACCTTAAATAAAAAAATATATCCAAAAAATAAAAGCCATAAACAATTATCATTTATATACACACCAGGCCGTGGGTAGGCACTTTCACATCTACCGAATTAGAGTGGGAGAAATCAAAATTTGAAGATTTTGGAGTGACTGAGACAAAAAACTAAAAAAAAAACCTTTTTGAACTGATGGGGCCCTAAAAGGAGGTTAGACCACGACACTATAGTACACTGTTATTATATTTATAAAAAAAACCTCTTAAAAGATTTTAATTACTATTTAATATGTGAAGTTAAAAAAAAGTTTACAACCCGCAGTTTTTAATATTAAAAAAACAAATTCTTAACACGTGTCAGTGATCAATGATTTTTTTGTTTTCGAGATATCTCTAAGTATAATATATTTTTTGTAAGTACTAAACTTTTGTTCCCAGAATCTGTTCACATTGGTCCATTAGATCCTTGGAACAAAAATGCCAATAAAAATTGTCGTTACCACCTGCATGGCACGTATTCAGAAAAAAAAAATTGTAAAACATTTAAATAATTAAGCCAAGTAAAGTGTAGAACTTTTCCAAAACTAGGTTGTAAACTATTCATGACATTTTTACATAACTATTTAGCAATAATTTTTGATGAAATTTTTTATTAATAAATTTTGATCGTGTCAAAGAAGCAACATTCTATTTAAAAATCTTTTTCTACTTCACAGTTTTCTGCAAATAAAAGTTTAAAGTATATTTAGAAGTGTATACAGTGTCATCCTTGCAAACTTGACATCCCTATGCAACTTGTTTCTCAAAATATGACAAAATCACAAATTGCATAGGGTGCTGCCATATGCAATTTGTGATTTTGTGCAGCGGCCTTGCTTATCAAAGTTTGTGTTTCAGAGTTAAAAGGTTTTAATTTAAAAAAACGAGTAACCTCCTCAAATACAATCATTTGAGATAAATATCATTTGGCTAAAATGTTTTTCTAAAAAAGTACGCAAAATTAGTTAAGGACAATGTACAACTAGTGCGTGAGTGTGTGTGCATGTATGCAATATCCTGTAATTTACTTGTTTACCTTGCTTATTTTTATATGCTTCTTTTCTTCTTCTAACTTTAAAAACTGTGCAAGAGAGGCAAGATTTTTTTCCGCTGTGATTTTAGCCTCAGCAAGGAGCTCCTGTTGAGTTAAACGCCTCATTTGTGTAAGCATTTGTCGTGGATTTCGCATAACTGTTTCTTTTTGTCTTTTACATAATGCTTCAGATTTGGTCAAGGTAGATAGACGCATTCGTTCTCGTTTTTCTTGAGAAGTGGCTAAATAACAACATAAAATGAAATTAATAAATGAACAACTATAAAACTTTTAATTTAAATATAAATTAAAAAGTTTATTAAATTACATTTAATAAACTTTTTAATTTATATTTATATTAACTATTTGTCTAAATGTTAAAATATATTAAAATGTACATGTAAATTATGTTAAAAATGTAAATTAAAGCCTGTACACGAAATAAATGCGAAAAAAAAAGTACGTCATTTTTTTCAATGGTTATATCAAAATCTTGTGAATTGTTTTGTATTTTGTTTACAACGTGTTGTGGTTTCAAAAAAATATGTTAGTTTTTTGATTTAGCTTAAAATTAGTTTTAAAAATGACAAAAGAAGTATTTCTTCTTCTTTTGAGAGAAAAAATTATGCAAAAATATTTGGAAAATCACAATAGTAGCTACAATTCGATAGCAAAAGCGTTGCAAATACATCCATACACTGGTTAGTCGTGTAATTTAACATTTTTATCAAACAAAATCGATCAAACGCAAATCTGGTGGTGTAAAACTTATATTAAGTACAATTTTCAGCAAATTCCTGGTGTCTATTATATTGCCAAATATAGAGGAAAAGCAGATAAAAAATTTAAATACACAAAACATGACAAGTTCGCTAAAAATGCCTTGATTTGACAAGTTATTTGCAGCTGTGGCAAAAAATCAGCACCTTTTATTTCTCAGTCCACACTTTCTGGTTAAATACATGTTAAAGAATGTCTACAAAAACGACATTTACCACTCATTAAATTACACGATAACAGACCGGTGTTCTGGCCTGATTTAGCTTCAAGTCATTATTGTAAACTAGCTATGGAATGATATAAAAAATGAATAAATGAAATTTGTGCCTAAAACAGAAAATCCTCCAAACTTCACAGAAATGAGACTTATTGAAAAGTACTGAGCAATTATTAAAAGAAAAATGAAAAAAACAAAAAAAATTCAGCAGAAACATTAAAGATATTAAAATATCATTTAAAAAAGCATCAAATAGTTTCGATTTTTATTCTGTGTGCAAGCTTATGCACCAAAGCAAAAGTTCAAAATTTTATTTCCCACAGGAATAATTTGAAATTTTTTTTTATGTTTGATATATTAAAGTTATTACTTAGTTCGAAATAAAAATCAAAGAGTACTTTTTTTGTTGTTATACTATCACATTTACTCAAAGTACACACTTTATGTTAAAATGTACATTTAAATAAAACAGTTTTTTGAAAAACATAAAAAACACCTAAAATATTATATAAATAAAAAACAAAGTCTAAATATACCTGTTACATTGACTTTTTTCACTGATGGTTTTTTTACATGGACAACCTCAGGTTGTTTAAAAACTTTTGGTTTGACTCTTTTCCTGACTTTTTTTGTTTCATCTTCACCACTTTCGTTATTTTCATCATCGTGCTCTGACAAACTAAAATCTAATATATAAAAAATTATATTCTAAAATGAAGTTATGTGGATGTAATGATAATATTCTATAATTAAAAAAAAAACTAAGTGGATGCAATAATATTGAAGAGTGGATTGGAAATATTTTTTATTAACATTAGGTGGAGTTGATTTTTTGAAATTTTATTATGAGTGGAATTTATTGATTTAATTGGGCATCTAATATAAATATTATCCCAAATTTTTATTTGTTAGTAAAATTTGCAACAACAAAAAGTGTTTATCCAGGCATCCCACAAAGTTTTGGTATTCTTATTTTTTTTATTTATATCTACAACTCTTATGAATTTACTGATAACAACGAAACTTTAAACAAATGAAGCTAAAAAATAGTTGCAAGTTTAATACTGAGATAAGAATAAGCAAAAAATCCAAAAGATAAGCATTTTATAAACCAAATGAAACTAAAACAAAACTTGAAAAATATTTCGGTATTAGATTTTCAAATAAATTTAGAGGAAACAAGTTAATATGGTACCAGCACTAACAAAAAGTATGCTAGGATGATTTGACATTTATGAACACATACTGGCTAATATGCAAGCATTACACAAAACCACATTTTTAATTTTCATAAAAATAATGATCTATAAACACCTATAATGATTTATAGTTGCAGCTAAGTATAATGATTTATAGTCGCAGCTAAGTATACATAGATAGATTAATATAGCAGCTTAGGTGCAGTAGAGTGTACATAAATTAAATGATATACCCGTAGATGCAACAGAATGCACATACATCAACTTAGGGTTTTGGTGTTGGCAGACATTCATATAGTTGTATGAAAAAAAATAAATTTAACTGAAATAAACTAACAAAACATTTTGGCAAGTATTTAAAAAAACATTAAAATTTAGAAATTAAAAAGTAAAAATTTTAATATTTAAAATCCTCCTACCCACCCTTTTTGCTTTGTAGCACTATTTAACAAACTTTAGCATTGACTTGATCAAACTCATGCAAGGTTTTTTTGGAATAGACTGTCAAATGCTTATGAAAGCATATTTTAGGTGATTAGTGCTTGAAATGTTCATACCAGCCATTTTACTGTCTGCTTAGCCTATATTATCAAGTAAACTAATATCTAGCAATCGAATATGAATTGAATAGAATATATTCATATATTTGGTTCTAAAATACTCCTTTATTAAGTTCACTTGGTACATACATACATAGTTCATACTTTCCTTTTTCAATCTTTTGACCAAAGTCGTTGTCCTGCAATTGAACAGTTGAAAACTGCTTTTATCATTAAAAAATCTTGACTCCAGTTTTCAACTGTCCAGTTGAGTCACTACTTGCCCCTCTTTCTACATATTATTTTAGTGACTCTCAAAAACAGCTTTTTTTGCACTATATACAATACAATTCCATACCTATGTAAAATCCTTTAAACTGTTTCTATACTTACACTGTGTGTATCTTTTATGCTATTGAATTCTGTAAACAATTTTGTAACAACAACAAAGGTTTTTGTCTTGACTTAATTACTATAAAATTCTATTCTGTTTTAAGAATATTTTAGGCTTTATAAAGTAGTCGAAAGAGACTTTAATGGTAAAAAATTTCTTTCAATGCTTTTTTTTTTTTAATATTTAAAAGACATCAACAATTAAGCGACATTTTAATATATTTAAAAGTTAAAAAAATTAAAATAATGTAAGTTTTATAATTTTTTTAAAAATCGCAATAATAATGACCAGAAAGTTTTCTTAATAGTGTTTTTGATTCTGTTTTTTTAAAGTTTCATAATATTTTTAAAACATATGAGAGGAGTGTTGGTTTTTTACTGTAAAACATGCATGGAGTATTGCTACATCAACTATCTTATAGCCTGCTCCTACAAGGAAGTGTTGCTACATTGACTATTTTATAGCCTGCTTCTACCAAGAGTTGTTAACAAGGCCAAAATAAGCAAGGCCAAAGACAAGGACAAGGCTACATGTTACAAGGCCAAAAGTTACAAGACCAAAAACAAGGCCAAGACCAAAAGTTATAAGGTCAAGGCCAAGAATAAGAGTTTCAAGGCCAAGGCCTACGCAAACATTTTCAAGACCAAAGACTTGAATTTTTGCCTTACGTTAAGGCCAATTATAAACAAAAATGTAGGTAGAAGTAAATGTAGGTATAAGCTGTGACAATAAAATCACATGCTGTAAAAATAGAACAAGGTTATGTCCAGAATTCAACGAAGTCAATAAGAAAATATACTTGCAAATATATATGAAAGCCGATAACAAAAATACATAAAAATAAAGTATAAAAGCTTTTAGTTCTTTAATTTTATGTATTTTTTTTTTGAAAGCCAAGGCCAAAACAGTCAAGGCCAAAGCCAAAATTTTCAAGGCTAAGACCAAGGCTAAGGCAAACAGTTTCAAGGCCAAGGTCTTAATTTTTGGCCTTAAGGCAAAGACAAGGCCAAGGACTAATAACTCTGCTGCTACCAGGGAGTACTGCTACATCAACTATCTTTTAGCCTGCTGCTACAAGGGAGTGCTGTTACATTCTATTTTTTAATATTTATAATGAGTTTTATGGTAAAATTATCTTTTTGAAAATATAATAATTACATTATGAATCATGTCAAGAATCAAAAATATTGTGTTTTTTTTGAATATGTGTGTGTATGTGTATATATATATACAACCCTCGGAATTAGGAAAAATGAGATCGACAATAATTTGCCGACCTAAATCATTTTGAGATCGACATCATGTTGGCAAAAATTATGTGGTCAGCCCATCTTTTTTCCATTCACCTTCTGCTAGGCCAATACATACTTTTTCTGGAGTGTTAGAGGGGGGGCGGGGGATACTATACATTTATAAATAACATTAGAGGCTCTACATTTTTCTATTATAGGACAGTTTTCTTTAATTATGCAATTGCAGGGTGGGCATTCTTTTAATCTTTCTGAACTGATTTTCTTGTTGTGGCTTTTTATTATTCTTTCAATATTTTTGGAGCAGCTGTAACTTTGATGGTGTTTCGATTGAATAGTTTACTTAGGGGGTGGGATGTTGGAAAATTTTGTCGATTATGTTTAGGAAGATAATATCATACAATGGTACAAAAGAATTGTTAAATAAAAAAACAGAAATAATATCTAAGTGTCGTCACGAAAACAAGTTCTTGCTGGACAACCACTAGCCCAAAGATTAAAAAACCAAACCAAATAGTAAATAGTAACAGTTTTATAATTGTTTTTGAATGTCACAATGTTTATTAAGAATATATTTTACCTGATGATTGCTAAAGGCATGAAACTTTCAGCAGTAAAAATTATGTAGTTATTTTTATTTAATCTCGTCAAAAAATCAATTATATAGCTCTGATATCATTCATCAAGCACTTTTGCTGAATATATACTCACAGCAAAATTAAACTTAATATATATATATATATATATATATATATATATATATACACACATACATAAATATAAAAACTAAAACTCAAAATACCAGAATCAACAAAATCTTCTTCTTGGTCCTCTGGAGCTTCATAAACTCCATCATCATCATCTTCATTGAACCCCCCATACATTGTGTTGTAAAATTCATCATCTTCATCTTCTACTTGCTCCTCAATCAACTTGCTCATTCGGTTTCCTGCATTGCATCGTTTTGATCGTTCAGCAGCCATCTTTATAAGTAAAAGCTGAAAAAGACAATTAGCAACACAAAAATACCTTATGATACAAAAAAGAATTGAAAGACTTAGTAGAAATAAAAAACAAAATCTTATTGAAGAGATAAATGAAAAATATAAAGAGAAAAATGTTTCAAGTTTTACAACAGATAACAAAATTTTCACTTTAGAGTTATGAGTTTTTATTGTAATATTTATATTTACAAACTATGTAAGTAAAAAATATATATTTATATATATATATATATATATGGACACAAAAAATTTATTGATTAAAAATTAAATCAATTCATTTTTTAGCAAACCGACAAGATAGGTCATTAAACCTTTTGAAAACTAAAAATACAAATAAGATTATAAAAAAATTAATCTAAAATTAACTGATAACTAGCTATGATGACATGGCAAAAAAAAAAATTATTTTCCAAAACTTTATTAAAAACACAAATTTTTTAAAATTCAATAGTTTTGAAAAATGAAAAGAATAGCTCAAAAGGTGATTTTAAAAAAATCTAGACTATTGCAAAAAAGTAAAAAAGTCTAATAAAAGCATATAAAACATAAAAATTCTATAAACTTGGCAAAGCATTACCAAGAACAATAAGGCTGTTGCAAAGAGCTCCTAAACTCTTGCTCAGTTTTTCTAAATCAGTTGCGGTTGCTATACGAGGTAAATTACACGAAACCTTTTGAAATTCATTAACATTATTTTCAATAGAACTTAAATGTTTACTAACATTTTGTCTAGGAACAGGTGCAATCGAATCTCGATACAACGATAACTTATCAACTAGTTCATTGCATTGCTGAAAAATATTAGCAGCTTTTTCAGCAATATTTTCAGACTGTCTACTATCTGCTAAAAGAATTAATGACTTAACACCCTGATAAACCAATTGCATTATATCCAAAACTCCTATTAACTCAGACTTTAAACCATCCTTTTTTATATTTAAATTATATGTTTCATTTTTTAAATTATTGCTAATTTGATTAGTAGTCTTTGAACTAACAGATGGTCTTGGTTTTAAAACAGGTTTTGCTAATAGTGATGGCTTTCGAGATTCAGTTTCATCTGTATTTATTGTTAATTTATTAATTCGAGCCATTGGATTTGGTGGAGTTTTAATAGAAATGGATTTTGTTGTTGGTAAAGTATCTTCAATATATTCTTGTTTTTCCTGTGTTTGTTTTAACTGGGGTGAGACAGGGGGTTTTGGAGGTGGCAGAGGTTTATTATTAGGATCACATAAAAGTAACTTTTTCTCATTATTAGTTTTTTCATCAACCAAGTTTCTTTCTTCTCTAATATGTTTTTTTGTATTCATTACTTTCATTCCACCTTGAAGTTCCTCAAGAGAAATTTTTGAAACCGCTAAACTTGGAACAGTAGGAAGACTATGTGGAGAACCGGAAATTGTCTTCGCCACAGCTTGGGTATCAGAGCTAGTAGATGTAATACTTTCAGATGAAGAGTAGTGTTCTTTTACAAAATTTTCTGCTAATTTTTTATCTTTACCACGCAAAGTACCTCGAAATAAAGGCAACATAGAATTTTTCTCTTTTTTCTCTTTTTTATGCAACTTTTGCGCTTTAGAAGATTTATTCACTTTTTCGAGTTTTAAATTATTTTCTGTAGAATTTTCTTGAAGCAGTTGATGTTTTGGTGGTACAGGAGGAAGAACCATTCCTTCTATTTCACTAATAAAAGTAGACTGAGGACGTAACTTTATAGCTCTTTGAACTTCTAAAATTAACATAAAATATTATGTTTGCGTTATATATCATTAACTAATGTTATTATTATAAATTTAGATTAATTCATTTAAAAAATATATATAATATAAAATTATACCATCATCTACATTGGTTGCATCAAACATTGTATCCAGTCGGTAGCAAATACTTGAAAATGTTGGTCGATCATTAGGATTCCATTTCCAACCTAGCATTAACAAAAAATAGAAATAAGTATCACTTCATTTCATACTTTTATGCCAACAAACAAGCATAACTTTAAAAATAACTAAACCTCACAGTCAAACCATATATATATATATATATATATATATATATATATATATATATATATATATATATATATATATATATATATATATATATATATATATATATATATATATATATATATATATATATATATATATATATATATATATATATATATATATATATATATATATATATATATATATATATATATATATATATATATATATATATATATATATATATATATATATATATATATATATATATATATATATATATATATATATATATATATATATATATATATATATATATATATATATATATATATATATATATATATATCATATGTACTATATGCAGCCATATAGCCATACACAGCCATATAACCAAATGTAATCCTATAACCATATATAGCCTGAAAATCAATGATTACTTAATTGCAATATTATGTTGATAATTTATGACTGTAAGGAGCCAAGAATTTATCTATGAATTTATTTTTATTTGGTAAAAAGAAACTCTCTTACAATCTAGCATCAATTCATAGGCAGCATCAGGACATCCTTCAGGGCACTCCATTCTATAACCTTGCTCAATAAGACTGTATACTTGGTTTAAGTCATGACCAGGGTAAGGCGATGCACCATATTTAACTATCTCCCACATAAGTACACCAAAAGCTATAAATTAATTAAAGAAAAACTCATGATGTTAGAATAAACTCAAAAACATTAAAAAATACTTTCTCTCAATACTAATAATTTTTTTATTATAGGACGTAATCAATTTATCTACTACTCTGTATACTATTTTAATTGATTTTTTGATTTTTTTTAAAGATCTTAAATTTGGGTATAAGTTTAATTACTGCTATATATCATTTTTTTGGACTTTTCCCTGTTTTGGTAAAAAACTTGTTACCCATGGTAAAGAAACTACAGGAGAGTTGTTGAACTTGAAAATGAAACTTTATAACTGCTTTTTTTTGTGTGTGGAGATTGATGTGAAATAATCCTCTTTTTTTTATCACACTCAATGAACACATCAACTAATAAATTTATTTCATCTTGCAAATGAGTTTTACTACAGTGTAAGCCCTGTGAAATACATTTATAGCGTTTAGAATTTTTTAAATTATGAATTATGTGTGGTTTAATCAACGAATGTTAGCGACTATTTATTTTCAATTATTTATACTTATTTGGTTTTCAATTTCAATTGTGTACTGTATAGATGAATGTTGTTGGTTTAAAATGTCTTGAAAGTTTTATTTAAATGAGTTTTGGAAAACTTTGCATGACTATCTTTAACATATATTAAAAATGACTTGAGGTTGTTATTTAAATCAAACCCAAATTTAAGATCTTTATCAAAAATCTTAAAAACAAAAAATGCAAACAAACATGTGCAAACACATGTGTTGCACTTGCACAAACACACAAGTGCACACAAACGGGTGCAAACACACGGCTGCATAAACATTAGAAGAGTATTCATGACAAAAAAATCAGTATATACAAGCTTTTCACAAAACATTTTCTATATCGAGGAGAAAAAAGAACAATAAAAGTAGAAAATAAAAAATTTGAAAAAAAAGTTAAGCTTTTAAAAGAAAAAAAAATTTTGCTCTATTAAAACAACTAAATTATTTTTAATGATGCCATTTTTTAAATTTAAACAAAAAAGAAGCAATTTAGCTGCTGATGTCAATTGTAACAATTTTTTTTCAAACTATAACAGTAATAAATTATTGTGATTTAACAGCTCATAATGCTGGTATTTATAATTCATCAAAAATTTCTATAATAAATTATTAGTATTGAGAGAAATGTTGTTAAGTAATATAAAATATAATCTCACACAAGATGTAATATATAATACTCTTACACAAGATGTCATCCTTTAAACCATTTGTGCAATTTTATATATATATATATATATATATATATATATATATATATATATATATATATATATATATATATATATATATATATATATATATATATATATATATATATATATATATATATATATATATATATATATATATATATATTTATATATGTATGTATGTATATATATATATATATATATATATATATATATATATATATATATATATATATATATATATATATATATATATATATATATATATATATATATATATACACACATGATTTTAAAAATTTATAAGCTTTGACAGGAGTAAATGACTGCACTGGCAGTGAGAAGCTTATCTAAAACAGGCTTTGTGGACTAGATGAGCTGCACACCTGGTTTTTATTTGACTTTCCCTGAAACAACGATGGAATTTTACTTCATCTTTATTCCAGGAAAAGTCGCATTTGCAAACATTTTTTCTTGCAAACGACAAAAAAAAAAAAAAAAAAAAAAATTGTTGATAGGTTTACTTCTTTATTAAAGTTTTCTAGAAAAAACCATTTTACTTTTTGAACTTCATATTCTGTTATAAGAATATGAAGTTCAAAAAGTAAAATGGTTTTTTTATTTAACTGACTGACAATAATAAAATTTTTTTAACTTTTTGCTATTTTTATCTGCAAAGGTTCATCTAGTTGTCTTATTCTTTTTAAATAAAATATTATAATACATTAAAATTTTGATGAAATAACTCCAAGCAACTTTAAAGCAAAGAAAGCAACTAACAATAAAGAGAAAACTTTTGTAATTTAAAATTAAACAAATGAGTTTTTTACATAACTCAAATTTTAATAAAGAAATTTTTATAACAATATATAACCTATAATTTATACACAAAAACAAATTATATAAAGTTGAATGTTAACAAATTTGAGTTCTTGCTCACAGGAAAATTTAATTAAAAACTGCACAACACTTATATACCAACAAATAAAATCACATAATAAAGTTATTCGTCAAAGCATTATATGTGATACTGAAAATTCACATTTTGCATTACTTAATCATTTAAACGTTAGCATAAAATTTCCGGGCAGTAATTCTAACTAATTTAACTTGTTTTTCTAAAATCTATTGTCCATCAATATTAAACATTGGTGGTCCTGACACTAATATATGGTCTTGATTAACATAAAGTTCTAACATTATATCTCTCATTCATGAGACTGATCTTATTACCTCTCCCAAGGATAAGGTAGAACTACTTGCAAAGAACTTTTCTAATTTGACTCTCAAATCTTATGGCCATTTTCTTCCTTCTATTCCAATTAAACAGGTTAAACCATTGTTAGACATTCAAATTACTCCAGCTTCCATTGCTCAAGTCTTATCTTGATTAAAGTCTTCCACAACTTGTGGTTCAGACAGCATTCCTGCCTTAGTCTCACAAAATTGTTTTCCAGAACTCTCTTCAATTCTCTCTAAACTATTTAATAAGTGCTTGACTTAGTCTTGTTTTCCTGCTGGAAAATGGCATCTGTTGCTCCAATTTTCAAAAACTCCAATGAACATTCTAGTCCCTCCAATTATTGTCTGATCAGTTCTTTCTGTTTTCAATTCTTCCTGTTATTACCAAGGTCTTTGATAAACAAATTAATCTCATCCCATCTTGAGTCATATAATTTACAAGATAAGCAATATGGTTTACAGTCCTCTCACCCTACGGCTGACTTGCTAACTGCTGTGACTGAAAGATTTTATTGTGCATTAAATGGAGGGCTATTGCTCTTGACAAGACTTTCAACAAAGTTTGACATGCTGGTTGTCTCCATAAGCTTGTTTCATATGGTGTATCTAGAAAAATTTTTGAGATTATCAAATCCTTTCTTTTTAACTGCTTTCTTAAAGTCATTTTCAAAGGCCAACACTCGTCTTTATTTCCAATAACTTCTGGGGTACCTCAGGCAGCCAATCTTGAATCTGATCTTATTTCTGTAACAAAATGGGGCTCACAGTGACTTGTGAATTTTAATTCCAACAAAACTCAGTTATTTACTGCAAACAATTATCGCAGTACTGTAGACATTCCTATACTATTAAATGGCAACCCTCACACTGAATCCTCTTCTTTACGTCTTCTTGGATTATTGTTTACTATTGACCTTTCATAGAAACCATTTATACAATTGATTACTAACATAAGAAATATTACAATCCAAGGTTTACAAGCCTTTTACACACAATTAGAGGCTTTTAAATTGTGGATAAATTAAGTTTTTTCTTCTCTTATGTAAGTTAAAGGTTTTATACCAGAGTTTTTCCATCTCTAAGGTAAGTTAAAGCAACTACACTACAACTAAAGAGCCTTACCATCCATACACATAAACACACATGCATTTATACATATTATGATATATTATAAAAACATATATTATAAAAGTGCAAAAACAAATTATATTAAGTGGAAACTTAGTTATAAAACTAATAGAAACTTATAGGAAACTTAGAAATAACATAATTTAATATAAGCAAAAAGAGTTTGTTATAATATAAACATAAAAAACCCCATAATGTTACACAACATAAACTTGTTTTCAAATTTATGAACAAATGGTATTTTAACTTTAACATGTTCTGAAACTTTGCATTTGACTCAAACTCAAACAAATTGTTAATTGAGAAAACAAAAGAAATTAAACAATATATACTATTTACAATTGATGCCTTAGAGAAAAATGCTTTCCAATTCATAAAAATTAAAACTAATTAGAAATATTACACTTAAGTAATAACCTTGAAAAAAAATCTAATATTATCTCATCCAAAACCTTTTTTTTAACATATTATATTTATTTAATTTAGTATTTATATTTGTTAATAGTTAACATATAATATATATGTTTGACAATAATAATGCGTATATATATATATATATATATATATATATATATATATATATATATATATATATATATATATATATATATATATATATATATATATGTATATATATATATATTCACATATATATACATATATATATACATATATATATATATATATATATATATATATATATATATATATATATATATATATATATATATATATATATATATACATACAACCCTTATGTATGTGTATATGTATATATATATATATATATATATATATATATATATATATATATATATATATATATATATACATACAACCCTTATGTATGTGTATATGTATATATATATATATATATATATATATATATATATATATATATATATATATATATATATATATATATATATATATATATATATATATATATAGAAACACACACACACACATAAATATATATATATATATATATATATACATACATATATATATATATATATATATATATATATATATATATATATATATATATATATATATATATATATATATATATATATATATATATATATATATATATATAAATGATGCCAACCTAAAGCCTTTAGAGTTCGGCATCAGGTCAGCAAAAAAAAAAAAAAAAAAAAAAAAATGATACAAAGATCTTAGCATAAAACATAGAAAGGAGGTTGGCAATTTTTTGGTGACCTCAAACACTTAAAGGTCAGCAGTTAAAATGACATTGCCGAAAGCTGACCCTAATTCAGAGGGTTGATATATATATATATATATATATATATATATATATATATATATTTATATATTTATATTTAAATACACATTCTTTTGCATTTTTATTGACAAACATACATACAACCTGCACAATACTTTAGTCAATGTATAAATTGAAGCTCTTGTTTATGACTCTCAAGCATTAAATATAAAAAGCCTTAAATTAGATATCAAAAATATAAAATATCTGTATTAAAATAACTTACCCCACACATCTGACTTGCTGGAAAACTTATTATAAGCCAAAGCTTCAGGGCTTGTCCATTTTATCGGGAATTTGGCTCCTGAATGGGCTTTGTAATAGTCATTCATCATGGAGCGAGCAAGTCCAAAATCTGCAACTTTTATTAAATGATTCTCACCAACAAGACAATTTCTTGCAGCCAAGTCTCTGTAACAAAAATTTGTTTTTATTATGAAATTTTATAAACTTGACAGACTTATAGTCACAGTGAGAGAAACAATAAAGTTTAATCAAATTTTAATTAACAAGTTTAATCTTGGAACAAAGACTACTATATGGCAGGACATGAATTATCTGATTTTGCTAGCCAAGACCATTAAATACTTCTTATTAAACGCTTATAAAATCAGATTTAACAAAAGAACGTTTTGTAAAACCAATATTACTAAATTAATTTAACAGTGAAAATATGTTAGTACTATTAAAAACCAAATAATAAAGTAAAAATTAATAACAAAGTAAAAACTATTTAAAAAAATATAAATATAAAAAGTTAATATAATAAAACTTCCTCTATAAAAAATTGAAGAGTATTAGATAAAATACTATAAAAAAATGAACAAATGTTCTATTTATTATATTTTTTATCTCTTTTAATTATACTATGAAAAAAATTTTCTTTGAAGATAAAATTTTTAAAGAAAGATTTTATCTTCTTTTTTAATAACTTTTTTAAGAACTTTTCTTTTTTAAATATAATATAAAAAGGTAATATAATAAACACAAAAAGTAAATTAACAACATGTTAATAAAGTCTTTCTTTAAATATTACTTAATTGATGTGTGATAAAGATATGCATTTTTTGTTTGTTCTTTTTCCAAATTCTGAATTCCAGACAAAAGAACATTTGCCATTAGCCTAAAAAGATTTTTTGATGTTAAACCAAAATCATAACGTGTCCATTATAGACAGAATTTTTATAAGTCTTTTCTACAACATACTCTGGGTTTGGTTTTTTCCACAAAGTATAAGCCAATGCTAACTAGTGTAACATATTGTAAACAATTGCCACGAAGCTCTCTTTAAAATCTTTTGACATAAAAAAATGAACTTATCTTTTTGCCAAGAATACAATATTTTCATATTTTTTGTGTAATTCATTGTCAGGATAGAATAAAGAAAAAAAAATTTGTTTTATATTTTTTAATAAAATAATTAAGTTGCTGATCTCCAGATTGACAAAGCACTGACTTTGGTGTAAGCATGAAAAAATAAATAAATATATTTGGTGCACATAGAAGTATAGCCACCAGGAAGAATAATCATTTCTGTATTTTTAGACCAATGTTTTTCACACATAAAAAGTTTAGATGGCTCTATGATAAAATCTTTGCATGGAGGAACAGTGGCGTAGTGGTAGGTAAAAGGCCTATGCGGGATTTTATAAAAAAAGCCTATATATGTGGGATTTTACCATATATGATGGATGAAGGCCCATACATGCCTGGCACTTGTTTGGTAAGAACTATGTCTTTTATTTTTTTTTTAGCCATATTTTATGTGCATTTATTTTATAATTATTTTAGTTGTTTCAAAATTATTAATAAATTTCAGTAGTGAATATAAACTTCATTTTTTAAACTTTTTATTTTTTATACAAAACAGAAAATGAAGCTTCGTTAATAACTAACGTCATTTTTTTGAGCTGATTCATTTTTCAAGTTTTAGTGCTAATAAATGTTAAACCGTTTGATATCCTTTTTACTGATTTCAAAGATGCCAAAGCATTAAAATTCTTTTGAATCAAACAGACTGGTTTTTATCATTTATATTAAAACATTGCAATTAATTATTATTTTAAATTTATATTTGTTTTATATTCAGTATTTGTTTTATTTTTTGTCTGATGGTTTTCATAAACTTTAATAGAATATTTTAGCTTTTAAACTTTTTAAATTTGTTTTTTAAAAACTTTAACGTAATAGTGAATGCTTATAGAAACCAATCTTGTTTATTACACTATTAAATTTGAATTACGTTACTTTTATTATTAAATTTAGTTACATTTGCTTTTGCGCAAAAAGTTTTCATTATTAAAAAGAAATGGAAAAAGTTTTAAAATATTGAAAAATTAATTATACATTTTTTAGAATATGTAATTATATTTATATAAAAGTAATATTTAAAAGTAATTCTAATATTCTTTGATAAGTTAAAGAAAATGGGTTTATTCTAAGCAATTATTAAAATTAATTTGTTACTTTATTTAATAAAGTAAACATAATTATTTATGTATTTATAACAATATACATAGCATTTTGCATGGTATGGTATTTTTTAAAAAGCGTAGTATATTTCTTTTTCCAATTTTATTTTTTGAGGCCTTTTAGCAATTTTTTAAATCCTTTTCTTCAAGGTCATAAGAATAAATATTTCTTGTGACAGAGGTTCGATCGCATTTCTTTAGGTTTTTATCGGATAAATTGAGCGGTACAATAAAATTCAATTGATTTCTTTAAAATACTATTTTGCCGCCAAGTGATTGTAAGCGAATACGATTTTTATTTTATTGTTTGAAGAACAGCCATTAAAACAAAATTAAAAAATCAAGGATTTTAGTTTATGAAACATAATATAAATTGCACTAAATTATAATTAAATTAAAAATTAAATAAAGTTTGAAAAAAAAAAATTTTTTTCTTGAATAACGAGAAATTGTTTGTATAGATTGTTTACGCTTTTGTTTAATTCTGCATTTTAACTAGCATTTTTGCAAAGCATTAACACACCACAGCGCTCGTACCTTAAATATAAAATGTTCTGCTTAGCAGTTAATTAATCAAAAAGTATTTCATATTTTTCTGAAAATGCTATATAGTTGTTTTTTATTTTAAAAATAAATAAAATTTTTCAGAATGTCAAAAAAAGTAAAAATTGCTAAAAGGTCTATACTTGGATTAAAAAGTAGTAAAAAGGCCCATATTTAAACAAAAAAGTGAAAAGCCCATGCGGGAATCCCGCATAGCCTCTGGGGCCACCACGCCCCTGTGAAGGAAGCATGTTAATTCACTTCTGTTTCTCAACTTTATCTTTAGATAATTTAAAAATACAACACTTCAGGCCTTGTTAAGAAGCGTTACGCAGCTCGCATTTTGCCTGCGAAAAGGCGATTTGCCTACGCGTTCGGCAGTTATGCGTTACGCAAAAACTTTAATCTTTTAGAATATTTAAATTATCTTTTTATATCGTTTATGTGACGTTCATTCAGAAGTATTAAAGTTGTAAGTAAAAGCATTTAACCGCAATTGTAAACTAATAGATTTTTTGTTAAAGAAACAATTTGTTTAATAATTTTTTTTTTTTTTTTTAAATTACTTAAAGAAAATAAAGAGTTTCAAGTTTAAACTTTTCATCATATTTAATTTTAAATATTAGATTTCATAAGTTTATAAACAATCAAATTTAAAAAAAGAAATATTTTCAATTTATTTTATTAAATTTAAATATTTTTTTAATAATTATAGTTTTTAGTAAATAAATTTAATTAAAATTCTTTCATTTAATTTTAAAACAGCATTTTAAAATTTTTTAATTTTAAAATGCTCCGTTTTTTTAATGATAAAATTACCAAAGTAAAAAAAGATTTAATAAATTTAATTCAAGTTACTTTAAAATGTTCGTATTACATATAACTTTATTTTGATTTTAGTTAAGTTTCAGGTAAGTTCCAAATACTGGTCTGAATAATGCGCTATACAAAAGCGCATTATTTTCCAGTTTTTATTTTTCCATTATTTTACAGTTTCATTCATTATTTACAGAAGCGCATTATTCATTTTATAACTACAAGTTAATAAATGACGTCAATACTTTTAAACTCGAGTTATCAATGTTATGTTTGGGTTTTCCCTTTGCCGTTTGCCGAAGAATTTTTTTTTATAAAACAAACCAAGGACGTATTAATAATACGTCCTTGAACAAACCAAAATTCAAACCTATTAAAAATAACGCGATCAGTAAATAAAGTCTTTAAAAGCCCAACTTATCTTTTTTATTTTAAAAACAAAACTAATACTTGAGCTATAAATATAAGATACATAAATTTCAAATTATAATGATATTTATTAAAAACAAATTCTGCTTATAACATCTTAAAACTGAAAACACTGTTTTTTTTTTTGGACTGAGTAAAAAAATATTAGGTTTCACTGTACATAAAAATAAAATATTTTAATGGAAATAAAAAAAAAAAACAAAGCCGAAAAAGCAGTAAATTTCGTTTCTTCACAACATTTATTTTATCAAAACCAGTTAGTGCAAACGTTTTTTTAAAAGGGGAAAACCCAATCTATGTGTTTAGTTATAAGTACATTTAAATCCCTTTAAGAAAATCAACCATAAACAAGTGTTAAATTTAATTATTTAAGAAAAAAAAAAAAAAAAAAAAACAACCGTAAAACGAATGTTTAAAAGCAAAAAAATTAAGTTTAAATAAGTATAAGATTTTAATACAAGAAAACTTTTTTTTAATCAACATTGAAATTTTTTTTTTTTTTATAACAACATTGTTTAATTTAAAGCTATTTCGTTTCAAAGACTAACAATAGTTTTTAATGTCATTTTAAATTTAATTACAATGAAGTAAAAACGCAACTGACGTAATTTAACTTTTAACAATGTAAATATCTTTATTGAGTAAAGTTACATTTATTCACGTTTTGCTTTTCCGTTACGCAGCGAAATCTCGTAACAAGGCCTGACACTTGTTAAGTTTATTATAATTCTATTTACTTCACCATAATTTTTCCAGCATAATGAAAGAGATTTAAAAAAAATATTACTGCAACATTAAAGACACTTTAACTTTGATAGAAATAATCCTGTTATATAGTAGTCCTTGTAATGGAATTAAGACCAAAGTTCAAACAATTAGAATGTTTTGGGACTAAGAAATGCTAGAAAAAAAGCTTTTTAACTTTTTATTTATAAGTTTTATTACTTTTTAATTGTACAATTCAAAAATTTGTAAAAAGAAAAGAAAAATTAAAAAAAATTTATAGCTTTTGGTCTGACATGCTTTTAAATTATATATATTTTTTTACATTAAGAGTAGTATTCCTAATTCCTGTGACATTTAGAAGTTTGTCAGAAATCTCAAAATATTATTATAACCCAACCCCCAAGTGAGCTGTGAACTGGGAACTTT